CAGAAATCCTGTCCATACACACCGGAGCAACATGATGTTGCGGAACGGATGAATCGGACGATTCTGGAAAAAGGTGGCGTGCATGCTGAACGATGCAAATATGCAGTGATGCAAAATATCATGACACTCACGTGACACTCGTCTTCGCATCAAACGACTATCGCTGACAGATCGTTTTGTCACACAGTGAGAGTTAGAGCCATGGCAATCATCAATCACAATCACCAGTAATGGTCGCTGCTCACTAGCAAAACGTTACACTCGCTGCTGATGATGAAAAGTACAACAAAAACAGTGAAGACTTCTGCAGTACGATCATGAGAAAAAGCGAAACGACAGAAGATAATGAAAACAATACCTACGCATTCCAAGTTCGTATCGACAGGCGCGGACAGGCGCCCAACGGAAGTTGTTGTGCTCACTCAACAACACACTCACATAAGCAAGCAAAGCAGCAACTGCTTCAAAACGAGTACAGATGAGTGTCGTGATTGTCGGAAATGACCAGATCGGCGATGGATCACAGTAGAAGACGACATTCACAAGTTGCTTTTTACTTCTTTCGTCAACTTGATGGATGGTCATGGAGAGAGCTTCGACGAGCACATTGATAGGAATGTACCAAGCGTTACTACCATTAGCTGTTTGACGATCGTGATTGTGATAGGTCGCAACTCTGCAAATATGTCAAAGAAGTTCTGGGTCGAGGCGGTGAACACAGCAGAATATCTGATCAGCCGTAGTCAAAGGGGGTCCTTGGACGGTAAGATGCCAGAAAAGGCGTGGACGGGAAAGAAACCCTACACGTGCCGAAGCAGAAAAGAAAGAAGCTGGACCCAAAATCTATAAAATTAGTGTTTGTTGGTTATGCTGAGGATACCAAGGGTTACAAACTGTACAACCCGGAGAACAATAACATCATTATCAGCCGTGACGTAACGATCGTAGACGAGGGCCGAAACGATGTGCGAACGAGTTTTTGGAGATCAATTTTTCCGACGAGACGATCAACGTAGTGTGTGGCTATTTGCCGGATGCAGAAGACGAGATGAATGACCGTTCGCAGAATCCAGAACAACTCGAAGATGAGGCGGCAGTAGTGACTGTTGAACCAATTGCAAACGAAAGCAGCAGCTCAGGAAGCGTCTTTTTTTAGATGCAGATGAGGAAATCGCGCTCCCACCGCAACTAGATAGACTAGCTGACACACAGTTTGAGTTGAGGCGCAGCGTCGGTAGCGTCAACTTCCAGGCAAGTATGAAGATTTTATTACATATAGTACGTCTAATGGGCGAAATGTTTCCCAAAAGTCGACGACGAGTTGTACACGAGGTGTTGCGGTTCCGGATGTCGAGCACATGAGCGATCCGATTACGTACAACGAGGCGTTGAGTAGACCAGACCAAGAACTATGGATGGCGACTATGCGAGAGGAAATCGAAGCACTGGAGACCAATCAGACGTGGGCACTTGAAGACTTGCCGTAAGGCGGAAAGGCGTTCAAAATCAAGTGGGTCTTCAACCTGATGGCAAGATTCAGCGGCACAAGGCCCGCTTAGTTGTCAAGGGATGTTTGCAGCGGCCGGGCATCGACTACGACGAGGTTTACTCACCGGTGGTCCGGTGCTCAACGATGAGGTTCCTGATGGCGTTGGCGACGATCTCGAGGTGGACCAAATGGACGCGGTCACAGCTTTTCTGCAATGAAAGCTTAACAACGAAGTAATTCACGTGCGGCAGCCAGAAGTATTTTCAAAGGACAGGACAAAGGTATGTCGACTCATGTCGGCATGAAGCGCTATGCTAGTCCGAGCTGGAACAATCAAAGGTGGATCCCTGCCTGTATTACACGATTGATGGAGGCAGAATGTTGTTCGTCACTATCTATGTGGATGACTTATTGATCTTTACAAACAACGTGAAGCTAAATAAACGGTGCTCGCGGTTCCAGATGAAGGATCTGGGCCAAGCAAAGTTCTGCCTGGGACTTGAGATCAGTGGGGATCAAGATCATGGTAAATTGTCCCCAGACCAAGAACCTGCTGTTACACCATTTGAAGCTAGTGAGCGGTTGGACAAATCGATGTCGCCACAGAATACGGAAAAAGCAGAGCAGATGAAAAATGTTCCCTACAAGGAAGTTGTCGGATGTCTGTAGTACATTGCGTCCGGATATCTGCTACGCGGTCAATGCTGTCAGCCAGTTTAGTAGCAACCCGGGACGGAAGCATTGGGAAGCGCTGAAGATGATTTTCGATACCTGAAAGGCACGGTGCGCAATTGGTTGCACCGATGCAAATTGGGAAGGAGCAGTCGACACACGGCGATCAACGTTGGGCTTTGTATTCATGCTTCAAGGTGGTGCCATTTCTTTCAACGTGAAGAAACAGCCGTCGGTAGCCTTATCATCCCAATGAGGTACAGAGAGAGGTGAAGCAGATCGTGAAATATGGTTGTATTAGTAAACCAAAAAATCAACGTAAACGCAAGTAGTGACGTCACTAATTGCTTGTATCGTACAGGGGTTTTACTCACACAACTTAACCGATTGCTTCACCTTGGTAATCCAGCTCATTGTTATCATCCTGCGAGGCAGACGCTGTCCAGGACGATCCAGTAGGCACTATGGTGGAGAAATTTGTTGAAGTAAATATTCGGTGATAATGTTATCTGAGTGACAATCAATCTGCCATTTGCATTGCTAAGAATGGTTCTTGCAATCCAAGGACCAAGCACGTGGACATACGATACCATTTTGTCCATAAAGCGATCGATAATGGGTCGCATATGGTTAACTATGTTAACACAAAAAATCAAGTCACCCATGGATTTACCAAGTCACTAATTAAAGCCGGGATCGTGAACCAGAAGCGGTTTCTAGGAATCGAGTATAGATCAGTGCACGGTCCCTAACCTCACTTTTTGCTCCCTATCATTTTGCTTCTGAGTAAAAGAGATAGCAACGAATGGGAGCCAAAACAAACCACCCAAAACTGTCAAAACTTACGGGTGAGAGAAGAGTGCGGCAAATCTTCGTGAACTGATCAATTAGGGAGGAGTTTTGGCGATAAATAAAATGTTCATTCCACTTCTAACAGTCAAATCTTTTTTTTTTTTTCGTTTGGTTTGTTTTTTCCGTCGATCTTGTTTTCCGTGCTGAGCACCAATGCTACCGACGTGCCAGGAAGGCAGCTCCCACACCTGGACCCTACCTATCGACCCATCAACTCATGAACCGGGGACCAACGGCTTTACTTCCCATCCGAAGGAAGGCGTGATCAGAGATGATATGCCTCAGAACATCCCGGCGGCGCCGACTGGGATTGAACCCAGGCCTGCTGGGGTGAGAGGTAATCACGCTTACCACTACACCACCGTCGCCGTTAACAGTCAAATCTATAAGACCCAGTTTCACTTTGCTATAGATGTTAATTAAAAGCTAAGTCCGCGACTTGGATCTTTAAAAAAAAATGTTCCTATCCCCAAGAACTTTTCCCTGGATTAAAATTGTTCAAGTCTAAGCCTTCTAAAAATTTCATTGATTCACTTTCCTACATGATTGGTGATGTCATTATAGTTTGTAATACAGTTATGAATAAGGATTGAGAAATATTTCTTTGATTTTAAAGAAAATTCCCTGAAGGTTATAAATGGAATCCCCTGAGATTCCCTGATTTTCCAGGTTTTTTTCAGATAGTCGACACCCTGAATGTAATGTACTAACAAGATAATTAAAGTTGACAAATGTACCGAAAGTCCAACAATTCTTAATGACAGAACAAGAATATCGATCATTGGTAATATGTCGCGTGAGAAATATGGATTCCGGAGGATGATTATTTGAATTTGTTACCGACGGCAATAGTTGGGTCGACCCTAAAGGCCCTTGCTGGTGTGGTCTAGGTAACGATCGATCGCAGTAGGCGCACTTGGCTGACTTAGACTGCTTTTAAACGGAAAATGGCGCCAGATGAAAACATAGGAAAGTAAGATGAGTAAACATTCATTCGTTGAAACTACCAGCAACTTGCTGATTTTGTGTTTTGCTTTGCCTCTGGGTAGGTAGGCCTATCCATATGTTATGCCTCGATCGTTTTCCGTTCGTTTCGATGCAGCTAGTTTTACATCATCCCTACAAACTAAGCCGCGCTCGAACAGGCGCAGGGACAGGTGCGTGGAGCGAAGGGAAAATTAACTCAAATTAATTATGCTAATGTACACACTAATTTCCATAGTCACACGCATAAGCCCAACGCCACGCTGCGCCGCATCGCACTGCTGCCGGCTACCAGCTCAAGGGCGAGGGCGAGGGGCTTGTTTGAAACCGTATCTGAGTGATTCAATCGCAGCAGCATTGGCATCACGCACTCGCCCGAGACCTGAGGGGGGAAATAAATCTGTTTCCTTTCGCCCGGGTGTGCCGCGGTTTCGGATGCCATTGTTATACCATAAGTACATTTTTAATTGTAATACACTTCCATTCCCGGGCAGCTCGGGTAAGTAATTTTTATGCTAATCTATTCTTTCTACTTCCAGTTGCGTATTTGCATGGTAGATAGGCAGGAGAGGGTGGGCAATAATTGGGCATTTCTTTTTCAACGAGGAGATAGGCGTTTAGTAGGCACACGCGCAATCGAATTGGCGGAATTGAATGATGAATTTTAAGCGAAATCGACTAACCTGCTGCTTGGATGAAAAAAAAAAATGTGATCGAACTTGCTCGTTTTTGTGTTTGTCTTTCGGCGACGACGCAGCACCTACTTCGACAACAATCACTTTAAAGTGAAACACAAAAACCGCCCCGATCGAGATGGGGTTTCATCGCGTTTCGCGCCAGCTGCCTTGCGAATGCCCCGCGGGCAGTGAAAGTAGTTTGCTTCTCTTTATGATCTTTCTGATTGCATAATTCCCCCAGATTATTGTTTTGTTTTCAACGCGAAGGAGGGAAGGTGGTTTATCACATAAACGATCAATCGAAATGACAAATTTGGACTGTTTTGTATTCTTTTCACTAACCCACAATGAGAAACGACTTACCTAAAAACAAATTGCTCTTCATATGTCGTTGATCCTGCCCCAACCGCGTCGATCTTTCTTGATTTCCGTTCGCAGCCAGGAAGGAACATCACGTACCGGATGGGCGTTGGGGAAACGCAAAGGCGGTTCCGGCCCCGCGAAGGGATGCGTTTTGGCCAGTTTACGGGCGAGGTACTCCTTGTTAATTTGCAGCGGGTCCCGGTACTTGTCCATGTAGAGGTTGAATGGTTTCCGCAGCGGGAACCACTCCTGATTGCGGATGTACGGTGCCGGGAAGTCGTACTCGAAGACTGGGTGTTTCATTTCTGGGGATGATAAGAGGGCGTCGATATTGGTTGAATATTTATTGTATGAAAATTTGCTAGGTTTGCTTTTCTTGGATTTCTATAATAATGTTATATCCATGAAAATTGCCAGATTTTTTAATACGCTTACAAATATGTAATTTTGGGTAAAACAACAGGTTAAGAGCAATAAACGATTTTTGAAACGTGACAATCAGTATTAACAGGGTGTCGACTCAATGAAGAACAATAAACCCCCTGATGTTCCAGTATTTTTTTAAATTCTAGAATTATTATTTTTTTTTCTTAATCAGGGCTGGTAGCCACCACTGCTGTCAAAAATAGTGATTTTAGTGATCATGTTGAAGAAATAAGTAACTAAGTAGTGACTTATAATTGTAAAAATAGTGACTAAAAAGTGACCCTGAATTGAATTAAAAGTAAATTTTATTTAAAACTCTTAGGAATTTCTGAGGAGCACAACTCCTGAGAACTTCAAAGGAAAATTCCAAGGGCATTCTGAGGATAATTTCATAAAGTTTGTGGGAGAAAACAAATTCGGAGCATAAGTCCTTTAATTTTTTTTTTGAAAATACTAAAAGAAGGATTTCAATTAAATTTGAAAATAACTCCAGGACATGTTCAAAGGAATTCGGAAAATAAATTCAGGAGAGTTTGCCAAACAAATTATGAGAAGAAACCTAAGGAATTTGTGAGTAGAAATGCCAATGAATTCTTAGGAGACTTTCAATGTGAGTAGAATTCCAAGGGAAGGAGTGAGATTCAAAAGGAAATCTGAAACGAATTCAATGAATATTCTGATAATCTTTCTAAAGGGTGTCTTATTGTGGAGAATTTCAAGGTAATTTCGAGGAAAACTAAAATAAAATTGAACTCGGAGGATAGCTTCATCGAAATTTCCATGAAATATGGAATGAACTATTCTGAGAACATCGTAAATTTTTCCTGAAGTTAATGAATCTACCTTGAAGTTCGTTTGTAGTTTGAAACACTAGCCTGATGCTCACAATACTACTCAGCAATTCTTAAACTTCCCTGAACTTTATAGGACCTCCTAAAGTTTCCTTAATTTTTCCAACGATCATGAGGTTCGCTGAAGTTCTATAAACTTCTTTAAACTTTATGTGACTTCTCTAATATTAACGGAGCTGCTCTGAGGTTCTCTGTTCTTTTCTGAAAGTCCCAAAACTGCTCTAACGTTTTTGCAGTTCTCATGAAGCTTGTTGTACTGCGCTGAATTTAATTTAACAGTCCTAAAAATGTTTAAGCTTTAGTGAACTTCTGAACTTATGTGAAGACCTCAATTAACTTTTTAACGACTCTGAAGCTATCTGAAAATATGGGAACTGCTTTAGATATCCCACTAATTTTATGAAACTAATGGAACTTAAGTCTCCCTGAAATTTCTCCAATTTTTGGAGCTTACTAAACTTCTTTCAAATGCTCCCGCCTTTTGCGAATGTTCATAAAAATTCCTGAAGTTCGCGGATCTCCCCTTGAGCTCCATAGATTTGTATGAAGTTCTCGATTTCCTAAACTTCTGGAACTTTTGTGCTTCCACAGTTTTCATGGAATTAGAACAAAATAATTAATAGTTTTATGATTTTCACTGAAGTTTTCATGATTTTTCTGAAGTTCATGAGACTTCCATTAATTTTTTTTTATTATAGTCACTTTAACGCTCTTGGGTCATTCGTGACTTGTCCGGGGGTGAGATTTGAACTCGTGACTTTGGCGTGAGATGTATGGATGCTAACCACTACGCCGGGGTCGCCCCCTCTTCCATTAAATTATCGACACTTATTTAAAAATTCTTCAATAGTCTAGACTTTCCTGGTGTTATTAAAACTACCTAAACGATTATTGAATTTCTTTAAAGTTCTCTAGACAGCCCTGAATTGATCAGTATATTTTAAGAACCCGCAACTTTACTGAAATTAATTGATTTTCCTTAAGTATTCTAACTATTAAAAACGCTCACATATTTTCCTTGCACTTATCTTAACTTGTTTAAAAATTATTAAGTTTTAAAATTTTCTGATATATATATATATATATATATATATATATATATATATATATATATATATATATATATATATAATTCCTTGTAAGTCTCTGCAAATTTGCCTAAGTTAATGGGACTATTCTGAAGCTATCTGATCGTCCTCGAAGTACTCGGAACTTCGCTGAATATCATGAAACTATCAAAATTCTAAGCTTTCTGGAATTTCTTGAAGTTAGTTATCGCTGCTTGCTAAAAGTTCTCGCATTTTTTTAAATTAATGGAACTTCGTTGATGTTCTCTAATCAACTTAGCTAAATTTTCGCATTTTTTTTAAAGTTCTTGAAATCTCCATGATATAACACCCTTAAAATACTCTCACGTTTTCCGGATGTTCATATAATTTTTATCACGTTCCAGAAGTTCTATCGGAGCTTTGCTGAAGTTTCCGGAACATGTTTAAGGTTTCTACAATTTTCTTGAAATTATTTGAACTGCCCTTTGATTCTCTGATCTGTCTTGATGTTCTCGAAGCTTCCCTAAAGCTCTCAATTCTATTGAAGATAAATTTCCCAGAAATTCTTTGGACTACTGTGAAGTTCCTGAAATATTTCTGAAGTTTTCATTAATTCTTTGATGGTCTCTGTACTTCCCTGAAATTCTCGGAACATCTTAAGGGTTCTCAATTTTTCTAAATTTTCGATTATAGATATTTAAACTTCTCCAAAAAGTCTGAACTAAAGTCATGGGAAATTTCCCAAGATTTCTAGATCTAGCTTTTCTGAGGTGCTTATATTTCTCAAGTTTGTGTAACACCTGTGATGTGCTCTAACATTCTTGGAACTTCATTAAAATTCCTGAAAATATTCGGATGTTAAAAGAACCGATTTGAGGACCTTCCAGTAAGTTCCCCATAATTTCAGTGTGTTAACTTCGCTTATGTTACCGTTGTTTGTTTATGGAGCTTCACTGAAATTCTCAGTATTTCCTTTCATTCCTCAGAACTTCTTCAAAGTTTCTAACTTTCTACAATTGTTCTGAAGTTAATGGGACTGCCATGAAGATCTCTAATCTTTCATAAAGTTAATTACAAACTTGAAATAAATCATTTGATGTTTTCCTTAATTCAGGCACTTTGAAAATTTTCAATATCTTGAACTCTTGGACTTACTTTAATTAAGTAGGTTTTTTTTAACTTTGTTAAAGTGAGAAATGAAGCTAGTGATAAACTTCAACATTAAATGGATTTGATTATAAAGTTGTTTCTTTAAAACTGTTTGTCATGCCTTAAAAACGTTTGGGTTAGTTACTGTTGTTTACCGCACTTCAGTTGTTATTTGAAGGAAGGCATCCAGTCGGTAGAACTGTTTCAAACACACAGTTAGTACTTGAGCGGGTCGGTTTTCATCTCTTTTTGCCAGTGGTGGCGGGGGGGGACACCCTTCCCTCTCCAAAGGGGGAGTTTGGTAAAGAGAGATGAAAAAACCGATTTGTACCTTCCTTAAAAGTGGTTCTAGCTCGCTATTCTAATATCTATATGCAATCTTCACACTACCGTACTCTAACGGAACTATCAACTCTATGCTTTCATCTACTCCATCTATCGTATAAAAATTACCACTACAGTCTGTTATTTGAAATTAGCATCTTCAACTGTAAATCGTTGACTTCACGTAGAAGTAATACTAAAACATATAGTCAAAGTACTTAAAAAATGACTGGCTTGAAAAAAGTGACCAAGTCACTAAAAAGTGACTCACTACCAGCTCTGCTTAATTCATTTTCCGAAACAAGATCGGTTTTCCGTACTTTTCCGTCAATGCTACTACGAGCTGACTGTGCAGGAACAGACTGTTCTCTAGAATGTTCTAGAGGTGAAGATTCTTCAGGAGACATAGATGGATCCGGTGTTGACGTTTCCGGAACCGACGAGTAACTCGGTCCAGCGGAATCTTCAGTGATAGCTTTGTTTTGTCAGGTCCTCGATTATTATACGATCTCATACCACGCCCGGGGCCCAGCGCCACTTGTTGTTGTTGTAGACCTTCGCTTACACAAGATCGTGTGCAACTAAGCATCGCTTATTCTGGTCTTCTTCTTCTTCTTGCTTGGTTTGAACGGTTGATGAAACAGGCGGTGGACGAAGCTGATGAAGACTTTCCATAGACGACATGCCAGTTTGGCGTTGTGCGGTAGACCAACAGCAACACGTCCAATGCTTCTTGTAGCGTATTCTTCGCCTCTTGAATTTCCCTCACCGTTCTCTTGAAAGTATCCACGAACCTCTCCGCTTGTCCGTTGGATTGTGGATTGCGAAATGTCAGCACAGAAATTCTGGAATTCCGCGCTAGTGAACTGGGTGCCAGTTGACTGGCATTCCAAGGCGTGCGAAAATGCTTCTCAGGATGCTGATCGTTGCTGCTGATGTAATGCGTCGCGTTTGGACAAACTCCGGCGATTTGGAGTACGCATCGGCGGCTAGCAGAAAGTAATCTTCGTCGATCGCTTCCATAGACCCGTTGGTTTTGGCCACGGAACTGGCGGTGAGTGCGGCGGTGACTTCGCCACAGATGCACAATGCTTGCAGGACTTGACGTATGCAACGATCTCATCGTCTAGGGAAGGTCAGTACACTAAACTCCTAGCGATGGCCTTCATCCGCTGAATGCCCGGATGTCCCTGGTGAAACTGTCTCAGCGATCACAAAACGTTCTCCGAACAAGATGCACCCGTCTACTGTACTCAGTGACTTCTGACAACCATGGTACCGCAAAAGCTCTGCAATCGTAGATTTTTCCGACCAACCATCTTGGAGGTAGCGGTAAACCTTTCGAAGCATTGGGTCGGATTGAGTGTCTCTTGCAACGACCCTGAAACTGAGCGGGAGAACGTTAATAACTTCATTCGCTACTGACCTTATATCCTCTTCTAGGATTACGCTGGCAATGACATAATCTTCCTGGGGCTTAGCGTGATTGTCTATCAACCTTGAAAG